TTGAAAACTGTATACATTAATGACGTATACAAACATATTAATATAATAATATTTCATTTCATTTGGGTGTAAATGGTGATTTTTATTTTCTGAACAAACAATTTTTTATCGCAATTTATTCATTATTATTTATGTAAAACCGTATCACTCATTATTTCTAATCGAATCAATAAACATCAAAGATCGATTTAAATTTTTATGTATAAATCAGGAATGATTTTTAGATTAAAAAGGAAATATAATAATATTTCATCTGTTCCTTAAGGGGATACGCTGAAGGTCTTGTCTTTTTATTTATTTTAGATTACTAAACATTGAAAAGGCTAAAAAAATAAAAATAAAAATAAAATGAGAAAATGCTTAAATTCAAGGAGAATATTATTTATTAGTTTTTTTATTATGTTTAAATTCGAAATAAAGATTTTTCCGTTCAGTCAAATTCAATTTACTCGAGAACCATCTTGCAAAATAGATTTCCTCATCGAAATGTTAAGTTCTCGATGGCTATTTTATACATGAGTTCAAGAATTCGAGATGAATTATAATAGGTGAAGATTTCCACTCCCGAGGAAGAACCTTAATTCCGGGCTTTTCCTCTCCTGGGAAATACATCGGATATAAATTTCCATGGGATTCCATTAGCAATGCTTTTCCCCAAGGGGATTAACTTATGCTAAATATGCAGCCCTTTGAATCTTGAGACTTAAGAAAAGTAATATTAAAATTAAATTGAATTGGTTTTTAAAACCCTCTGCATATTTCATATAAACAATAATTATCTTCATAAAGTATTTCAAAAAATACTTTATTCAGTACATTATTTGTTTGCTTTTTTCATACTCAAGAGGATTTCTTGCAAGAAATAGAGACAAAGGTATCCGCTTTATAGAATTCATAGTCTTTGAAACAGAGTAATTTAATTTATTATTTTTATTAGTATTTTTTCTTTGTCTTTTAATATTTATTTGTCGGACGAGTAATGCCGGCTGAGAGAGAAGCGCATCTCTTAGAGTCTCAATTTGTCCTTCATACGTGGAGGAAAGGGCTGGACTCGGAGATCTCTTGCCTGGTTTTAAATATTGTAATTAACTATAAATGTTTTTCTATTTATTCTTTTTTTTTATTTATTTATTTCTTTTACTTATAATTTATGCAATTTTGCTACGAGCTTCCGTATTTTATTTAATTTTAACTTTCAGTTACGTTTCCTTGATTTTATAATAGTTTTTGCCTTTGTTATATAGATGTTTATTTTTAATTTTTTCATTGTATTGTATATATGGAATAAATGTGCCTCACTCAGTTTTATTTATTATAGGGATTTATTTTTCTCATTTTTTTTTTTTTTTTTTTTTAGTTTTTAAATGTTTAATAATCTAAAATAAATAAAAAATCCATTCTTAATTAGTTAATGGACCAACACAAGACCTTCAGCGTGTCCCCTTAAGGAACAGATGAAATATTATTATATTTCATTTGTAATCTAAAAACCATACCTGATTTATATATAAAAAATTTTATCACCATTTTTTCTATCCAAATTTACTAATGTATAAATTTGAGTGAGGCACAGAGAAACTGCACAATGGTAGCACTCCAATTATATCCCTATATTAGAAGGTTAAGTGCGCAAAATGTACCATTTCTCATTAAAAAGATCTTTATTTATAGAAAAAAAAATTCTTTGCATCTATCAAACATTTTATGTTGACAATCTGCAAAAGAATCGACTATACAGATAATAATGAAATGAAAGGCATGTGGAAGGACATTAATCAGGAGCAATTCTTGATTAAATTACCATGTTTAACAAAACAAGGAAGGAGGTCTCTCATCCAGCGCTTTTATTAAGCTCTCCCTCGTATTCAGGAGTTTGTTTGTTTGTATAGGCTTTAAGGCGTAGAATCCTAGATTCATCAACGCCAGTGAGTCGGATATATTTGTGAACTCTTTAGAGGAAAAAGAAAAAGAAAATAATGAATAATCAAAAATTAATAATAGATAGATAATATAATAAATGAAAAATTAAATATATTAAAATAAATAAAAAGAACAAAACAACCTACAATAAAATAAAAATTATATTTGTTTCTATATTTTATTTAATAGCCTAATTGGATTTCAAGAAAATGTATTACTGTTTTTACGTTTTATTTGTTATTGCTTAATATTACTGATATATCCGGTTTTAGAGACAATCTATTTAGGCCAGAAGTAAAATAAGGGCATTCTTAAAGAATATGATTGATAGTGAGAGGGCTGTTGCAGTGTTGACAATTTGGTGGTAACTGCTTAGTGATGAGATGTAAATTAGTTTTATTTTTGTGTCCTATTCTTAAACTTGCCATGGCGACCTCCTCTCAACGATTAGGGCGGTTTGATGTTGTCCAGTGCATCACTGATTTTGTTTGCAACAACTTTTAATTTGCTAGGTGAGCTCGTAATCAAGGGTATGTCATCTGTAACCATATTTTGTATTAAACTGTTGGAAAGTCCGTTTAAATGTTTATAAAATCTTTCATAAAGAGTCGTTTATTTATCAGTCTATTGTTGACAGGTAGAGATCAGCAGGATGTAGAGTTTTTTGTCACGTAACTAGATACTTTTGGTATCAGTCATGATAATTATTATGGGTATAATTTGAATTTTTGTATTCTGCTATGTTTACTTCCATATAAAATCAAGTCAGTAAAAAATTCGGTTCCTAAAGGTAAACACGGTAGTTTAATCAAGCTAGCTTTGCTAGCTTGATTCAATTACTTTTTTTTTATTTAAAAAAGGTGTTCTTTCATTCATCGAGTAACTTCTTAATATTCTCATCATATTCAAGATATGTCATCTGCACCCATGTCTCTTAATAAAGTTGGTATGTCTGTTTAAATTTGTGTAAAATTGTTGGTAGGATATCGTTACCGTCAATATATTTTTTTTTTTTTTTTTTTTATTGAATAATAATACAATCAGCCACTGTTGGAGGGCTATAAGTATTAAGGCTAGAAGTTCTCATTCATACAGTATATACAAGTAATACAGAAGTAACTATAAATATAAGAAGTAAATAAATAATACTTAAAAAAAAAGAAGAAAAAAAAAGTAATCAATAGGAAAAAAAAAAAAAAGAAAAAAAAAATAAATAAATAAACAAACAAAATAAAATAACAACTTCTAAACACATTCATACCTATATACAATATATACATTCGCCCAGGAATCTCCGAGCCAGGCTTTTCTCCCCACATGTGGAAAGCAAAGCAGGACTCCAGAGATCCCAGTGCCACTTTTCCCGTCAATATTAACATTTTAATTGTGGAATCAAAAAATTAATATGTTGTATAATATATAATATGCCGTTTTTGTTTTTATTTCAACGATACCTATCTATGGGACAAGAAAAAAATAACGAGCTGGAAGAAATGTTAGAATAACAATAACTGGTGTCCTTCGCTAGGAAGAACCTGTTGAGATGACTAAGATAAGTGGATCGAATACCCAGATAATAGGATAACCAAAATATTACTTGAAGGTGAGCCGAGAAGAGAAAGAATGAGTTGGTGTCCACGCTCAAGTAAGAAGATAAGGTGAAATTGTTGAAAGGAATGGAAGTCAGAGGTTGCAGAAGATTTTCCCAGAAGATAGAAGAATGGAGTAAGATCCTTGAAAACTGTAACGCCAGAGATAAACTAAAGCACGTGTACAAACAATAATAGAGTTCCTGTATATTGTAATAGTGTATATAGGTATGTTTGTGTTCCTTTTTTTAAATTTATATGTCATTAAGTATTTTTATTCTTATTTATTGTATAAATATTATTTTGCTGTTTAATTTATTTCTATTTATTGTATATAGAGAGTGAATGTGATCTCTGATTTATAAATGCCCTTTGAGACAGATTGTAATGTTTCTCAATAAACAAGTTTAAAAAAAAAAATCCAATATTTCATATTTATATGTAAACGATTATGATACACAGCTTCCTGTGAAAATTGTAAGCAATCACTAGAAAAAAGTGTACGGACAAACTTTCGAGCGTATTGGAGTCGACTAAAGAGAGTTTTGTTTACTCTCCCTTAACGAATAACTAAATGTTCCCTCATTTAGAACATGTCATGAATAAAAAAAATAAAAATCACTTTGAAAACTTTATGCCAGGGTTTGATATCACTATTCCTCTCCCTCATGTAGTAATTATTATATTTACTGTTGACCGGGGCGAATTCATTTTTTTATAGCAAAAAAAATCATTCTTAATTTGAAGTCATGCCTGATTTATAAATAAACATTTAAATCGATCTTTGATGTTTATTGATTCGACTCAAAAAGTTGATAGACGCAAATAAATTTTTTATTGCCAAAAAAAACAATAGTGATCATTTACTGAGCGATACGGTTTTGTATAAAAAGTATTGATTAAATTGTGATAAGAAAATAAAAAAAAATAAAATCACCGTTTACACATAAATTAAATCGAATATTAATACGTATGTATACGTTATTGATGTACACATTTTTTTAATATTATAACACACACACACACACAAATGTATATATATATATATATATATATATATATATATTATATTATATATATATATATATTGTGTATTATAATATATATAATTTATATACATATATATATATATATATTATTTATTTATTTTTTTTGGTAGCTAAAAAATATCTTATGAATTTCGGAAATAAAGATGTTCTGTTGCTAATAGTTGACAACGACGTATTCCACCTTTTACTCTAGAATCAAAATATACCATAGAGATTACAATAAAAGTATTTTTTAAAAAAAGTATTAGTCTATAATTGTTATTAGTGTTAATTATAAATTTTTTAAAAGAAAATAATGATCAGAATATAATTTTTATTACTTTTGATCAAAAATAAAAATCGTTCTTAATAAAAACCATCAAATGATTTTTAAAAATTCCAGATAAAAATTTTAATCAGATTTGTTTAAATTTTTAATTCACAAAATTGATATTCACTTTGGAAAATAGGATTAAATCATAACACGCCAAAATATATAACATTTACACTTCGGCTTGACGCGTGCCAACCAGTTTATATAGGAGAGAATCAAATTCCTCAGACAAACACAATACGTTACCTGGGACTAATATTCCACAGAAGGATGACCTGGGAGGGGCATATTTTGATGGGTTTTTGAATTCTTGAGGGGGGCAAATTTCGATGGGGTTATGAATTATCGGACTAAGGGACGAAAGAGGAAAACATGGAACAGACTTCAGCAAGTATAATTGTATATGGTCTAAGATTTTTCTACTTTTGATCTGTTTTTAAGAAATGGTGAGCAAAAAATTATCTTGGGAGAAGGGGAGAAGTAAATTCTTGCGCCATCGACCTTGGAGAGGGGGGGGGAGATAAGCACCTCTGGTGTAATACAAAAACTGTTTAAAACAGTATTAAAAAAAAAATTGGAAATTTGATTTAGCTGGTTTTTAAATTTTACGTCACATATGTTGTGATAGACCAGAAAGATGACACATCAAAATGAAACGACAGACATTGGAAAAGCGACTGAAAATACTGTACTAACATTTTTCTCAATCGGAATTGAAAGTAAGACAAAAACTAAATACATACCCTTACCTTATGCGCTTACAAAACCGACAGTCATTTCAATTCAAAATTTTACGGTTTACATAACGACTTACGATAACCAACACATACGTACTCTCTACTATCGTTTTCATCTCAAACTTACAACAAAAAACTTATGAACGACATGGCCACGACTGACATGCCCATCAGGAGGAGACTAAAAAGGATCTGGATGAGAGATCTCCTCACCTCAATCAAGAAAGTAAACAATGAGCAGGAAGAGGTGCTGCTGTGTGCTATCCTTCCTCATGCTTATAATGCTAATCATCATTTACTGCAACAAATCTGCTGATTGTCATAGTATTGACAAGTGAGGATAAATATTTGAAGAGTGTGGTGTGAGGTCGTGTTGGCCGAGTTTGTTGGAGCGTTGACCGACTTAGCATCCTCATGCCTAGAGACGCCGGTTCGAATGCGGCCTAGAAGTGGTTGACTTTTATTTCTTGGCAGGCCCACGGAATGAAACTCGACTCTCCCACTCTGGTTCGAATAGGTTTGGTTGTACCTCTAGAACAACTCCCCCTCCCCCACCCGTATTTCAGAAATAGTGGGTAGGGGGTTATGCAATAAATAAAAAAGATATTTGAAGTGATTTTTTTTTTTAAATTATATATTTCAAATCCTGCATTAAACATTATTACAATGATTAATTAATGGAAACATTAAAAAACATTAAATTTTTTTTTAATCTCAATTCTTCAACTTACACCTGTCAGAAGTGCCGACAATCAGCGAGCGTGATGTCAAGATGCAGAAGATTAATTGGTCCTTGAATGGGCGTGAGGGAGAGGAGTGTCTTGTATACAGGCGTCCTTCCTGCCTTGAGTGTAATATTTATAGTTAGTGGAGGAGATCCCTCATCAGCATCCTCATCAAGTCTCGGACATGTTAGTTGTGGCCATGCCTCGAATCAATGAGTTGGTATGTCCGCGTAAGTTATTATGTACTCTTTTGTAGTATGTTCGTATATGGTCTTTAACTGTTGGCATCTTTAAGTCTTTATGTAGAGTAATGTTACTGACGTACCAGGGAGCCTTGGTGATAGTCCTGAAAATTTTATATTGAAAAGTCTGTAATTTACTTGCGTGAGTCTTTTTGGCTGTCCGATATATCTGTGAAGCGTAGGTCCAAATAGGCTTAAGTAGGTAAGTATTAAATTAAAAAAGTATTAGCGATTTCGTGTCCTCAGAGAATTCCTCTATAGAACCGATGAAGATGCTCAAATGACATTTTAAAAGGTTGATTTGACACGGCAACAAGAATAGATGGAGTCGGTCCCATGCTAACAAGATGATCCTCCTTTCCACTGGAACTGGGACCGAGGAGGAGAAGAAAGGGGAATAAAAAAAAGTGGGGGTTTGTAATTGACAGGGGGCCGTAGAAACAAAAAAATTCCCCTCACAAAGGGACCATCCGTCTTCTCACTCGTTCCTCATTTACCCTCTCGCTCTTCCGTCCTTCAATTCCCCCAACTTTATTTCTACATTATTTTACTTCATCTAATTAGCATTTCACCTTTTTTTCTTATTTTCTTTTCTTGAAATATATTTCAATTCAGTTTATATTCTATTTTTGTAAATGAATATAATTTGAATAAATAAATATACACTGTGTCTCACTTCACATTGGCCAAACTTAGGTTTGTGTTTCTAGACAGAATATCCAACAAAAAAGTTCATTTGATGCATTGGGGCGATAACGGAAAAGGAATTAGACCAATTTTTTTTAAGGTGCTCATTTTTTACATTAATGTTTGTAGATGTACGATATAGATTCAATTGTAATCGTGAAAGTTTTCAACTGAAAAAAAAAAAAAACCTAAACTAACAATATATACAAAACAAAATGTGAAAAGTTGTGCAAGGTACTTAATACTATATACAAAAGAATTGAAAATTATACAAAATATTCACATCTTATAAAAAAAAAGAAAGTGAAAAAAAATAAATACGAAATATCATTAAACTCTTATGATTGATTAGTAATAAATAAACAAAAATACATTTGTTATTTAAATAAAATTTTAAATAACGGTACATTCGAGAAAAACAAATGGGCATGTATGTGCTGTATAACACATATACATTAAATAACGGAGCTTAAATAGGATTTGAATGGAATAATTTTTAATGCGAATAAGGAGGGGGGCATAGCGTTTTTTTAAATTGAGGGAATCCTTTAAATAACGATAATACATATCAAATTTTATAAGCATGAAAGTTTGATTAGTTAGTTGTTTTTTGTTATTTTTTTTATATTTGCAACACTTGACTTGAAGCTTTTAAAATCGTCCGAATATTTTCATCGTTGAAACAATAAATTGCCTCATTTCCTTCACCCCTCCCAAAAAAAAAAAAAAAAATGAATAACGTTTTCAAACCATCTATCTGAGTAAAGATTAATGAACGATTGGAATGAGAATGATTCTGATGATTTTTGTGTCTGCTCATATTTGATCGTTTATTCAACCGGCAGCCATTGTCAAACGAATAATGAATAGACTGAACCATCAGGTGCAAATTAATGCGGCAATTACCTTGAATTATAAATGGCAAATACACACACAAAAAAAAATGGATATCCCGAAAGAGTTATATTGGAAAATGTTCTAAAAAAGAATCCAAATATAAAAGCAAACGAAATACATTATGTATTCACATTCATAGTTTCGAACATGACAATTGGTATATTAATAGTGATTATCATAAAGATTAAATTTCTTTATCTGTGTATTTAAAATTATTAAATACGTTCTCTCTCTCTCTCTCTCTCTCTCTCTCTCTCTCTCTCTCTCTCTCTCTCTCTCTCTCTCTCTCACACTCTCTCTCTCTCTCTCTCTTTCTCTTTCTCTCTCTCGCTCCCTCTCCCTCTTTAGATTTATCGTACAGTATTATATATGGTGTACCGTTACTGATGGGAGGAACTAGTACCGCAAGTAGTCCCTATATATTGTGTAGTATATATATATATATATATATATATATATATATATATATATATATATTGTATGTGTATATGGAAAGATTGTTATTACTTTTCCTTTTCTGTTTCAGGTTAAAAAGTAAGGATTTTTCTCTTTTCCTTTCCTTGCCTATGGCTTTATACAGGTTTAAGGCTTCCCTAAAACGATAGATGGATCGGGTTAAGCAATACCTCATGGTGATAAATCGGCTATGAGGAAGCTAGCTCAAGGGAGCGTTCGTTTATTCAGGTAAAAGCCAATAAACGGTATGCTAACAAGTCGTAAATCCTGCGAGGCAAGAGGGCTGCGATATTCTCTTCTGCTAAATCTACTTAACAGCTTCTTTAGCATTTTATGTCCAGCAGCTTAGTTTCCTGACAAAGTTTACTACTTAGAAAGTATCACACTGTTCCTAAAATATTCAGAAATAAAGGACATAGGGTGAACACTTTTTAAAAATATTGCAGAAGTGTGAAAGTAGTAATTTAAACTCTGAAAGAATAGCAATAACTAGCAAGATTATGTTTTATGACAATCTAATCTAGGAAAAATAAAATAAAAAATGAGCAAATTCAAGAGAACATTGGTTGGAGTGATCAGTAAAACAAAAAAATGTATAAAATAAATAGGTATATTTATTTTTGTATTTGCCGATGTTTCGGCTCAAAGTTCGCGCCTTCATCAGGGTACAAAAAAAGTTTTCATCTATTCTAAGATTAAATAATTTTTTCTTAGCCCTGAAGAAACATCGGCAAAAATAAAAGCAAATATACCTATTTATTTTTACATTTCTTTTAACATTCAATTATTCACTAGAATCAACCACCGATCCACAATTATGAACAAATTATTCTTTCAAATTATTACCACAAATTCTATCAGTAATTGTGGTCATAATCATAAAAACATACCTAATCGCCTAGCTGTATGCTTTAATGCCTATCTCTTATTTAATTGTATCAAATTAACATATTATAATAATTTTCTGGACATTATGAAGCACTGACCAATGAGATGCAGGACAAATATAACATTATCATTTATATTTTTTATAAAGAAATTTTGGGTCTTTTTTAATCAAGTATCGGTAGGTATTTTTTTTATACTTATTTAGAACCGTTACAGATTTGCCAAATATACATAAAATAATAATGCAGTAATCTGAATAAAAATTCTATTGTTTTATTGAAAGCGTGAAATTGAAAAAAAAAATAACTTGAATGAGCTTGAATCACATCTTTCTGAGTTCGTTTGGAGAAAAATTGAAGGATTAGATTTATTTGATGAAATGTCCCAGGCAATGAGAACCTTTTAGGCTTCTGCAGATTAATATTGTTATATATTTAGAATATTTGTTATTCTCTAAGTTAACCTATTTTGTGTTTATCTATAGTTTAATATCAATTTAAAAAAAAAAATATTTGTTCTTTTATGGCATACGATTTTATCAAATAATACTGTTATTTTACTTTATTCGAAGAGAGTTGTAACTGTTACTAAAAGTGATTGGCGATACCTAAATAAAAAATAATAGAAATTTTTTATTTTGTGAAAATTTTAATGCATTATTAAAATCATAAAATCATTATTCATTGTACACAAGGATATACAATGTTTTTAAATGTTGAAATTATTATTTAGCATTTTTTCTTACTTTAAACAATATCATATAATGATAAATCTAGAAAAAATTCCAGGAATCATTTTCAAGGAAGAACCTTCTTGATAAAAAGTCTGTTCATTATAACTCATTGATATACTAACATAACATCAGACCATTATTATGGGTTCCTAACACATCATTCTACCATTCATCAATCACACAGAGTGACAGGCTACATTTCGTGGACACTAGAATAGAAATCGAATGCAACAGAAGTATTTCTAGATGTCACTCAAACATTTGATTGAGTCTGGCATCAGAAGTGCTTCTTCAAACATAAGACGATACTATTCTTTTATTCTTCAATCCTTTCTCTCTGACGAATCGTTCTCTGTCTGACAAGGCTCAGAGCACTTCACCATTAGATCAGCCTTAATAGTAGTGCCTCAGGGGTCAGTATTGGCTTCACTATTAC